CACCCCCAAGCTTGTGAGCTTTCCCAGAAGCAAGGGAAGATCTGCTCCTACCCTCCTCCTGGATTTCAACACTTTATCTAGGAAGAGCCGGTGGGCGGCTCTGCAACGCCTTCCTCCTCATTCCTCACCTACAGAGCCTAGCAGGTTTTAGGGCCCAACTGGAACCAGAACAAGGAACCTTGCCATGCTCTCACTGTCAAAAAGACTGTTCTGAGGCCGGCGCCGCGGCTCACTAGGCTAATCCTCCACCTAGCGGCGCCGGCACACCGGGTTCTAGTCCCGGTCGGGGCGCCGGATTCTGTCCCGGTTGCCCCTCTTCCAGGCCAGCCCTCTGCTGTGGCCAGGGAGTGCAGTGGAGGATGGCCCAGGTGCTTGCGCCCTGCACCCCATGGGAGACCAGGAAAAGCACCTGGCTCCTGGCTCCTGCCACCGGATCAGCGCGGTGTGCCGGCCGCAGCGCGCTGGCCGCGGCGGCCATTGGAGGGTGAACCAACGGCAAAGGAAGACCTTTCTCTCTGTCTCTCTCTCTCTCACTGTCCACTCTGCCTGTCCAAAAAAAAAAAAAAAAGACTGTTCTGAGGCAGAACGAATAGCCATGTTCTGTGTGGCCTCCGAAGGTAGCACATGGGGAGAGCACAGTCCCTTCATGCCAGGCCCTGTGCCAGGGAGCAAGGATGCAACAATGCATCACAGGCTTTGCCTTTGGAGGGCTCTCAGTCTGCACGGGGACAGGCTCTAATGCAAAGTGATCCCTGCAGCCACTCAGATGCAACCCAACTGGAGTGCAGTAAGGAAAGCTCCCCAGAGGAGAAGCCTGAACTGAGTCTTTTTTTTTTTTTTTTTTTTTTTTGGACAGGCAGAGTGGACAGTGAGAGAGACAGAGAGAAAGGTCTTCCTTTGCCGTTGGTTCACCCTCCAATGGCCGGCGCGCTGCGGCCGGCACACCGTGCTGATCCGATGGCAGGAGCCAGGTACTTATCCTGGTCTCCCATGGGGTACAGGGCCCAAGTACTTGGGCCATCCTCCACTGCACTCCCTGGCCACAGCAGAGAGCTGGCCTGGAAGAGGGGCAACCAGGACAGAATCCGGCACCCCGACCGGGACTAGAACCCGGTGTGCCGGCGCCGCAAGGCGGAGGATTAGCCTAGTGAGCCGCGGCGCCGGCCCTGAACTGAGTCTTAAGAGATGAACAAGGGTTTGCAGGAAGACCAAGGTGGGAGAGCTGCTGGTGAGAGAGGTTGGGGTTGTGTAAGACAGACTCTGTCCTCATTAAATGGGGGGGCATGGCTCACAGGGCCGTGGGGATTCTGAGTGACCACCTGCTTCAGTTACACTGGAGGGGGAGCCTCTTCCTAGGGAGCTGGGGTAACTCAGCCATTGAGGTCTTTTTCCATCGGAGAGTCTGTGATTGGGTCAGATGAAAGGCAGGCACTGTACCAGAGAAGAGCACTGGGCTCCCTAGACCCCAGTGGACCAGGCTTCTCTCCCTCCAGCACCACTGCCTCTGTCTTACTCTACCCTGAGTGATGAGACCCCTGTTAGCCACCATGGCACCAGCCTGCACCAGCCCCTGATCACCCACACACCCCCACCCTACTTTCCTGGCCCAAGTCCTATTGACAGCTCCCCCAGAATCTGGAGGAATTCAAGACAAATGGTTAAGAGGATAGAGTTAATAAAATTTGAAAAATTGAGGCCTGTCACTCCACTAAACTTTTTTCAATACCACTGACAGAAACATATTTCCCCAATGAGTGACCTTCCACAGCTGTAGCGGGCAGGCGCAGCCGCAGCAGGGCTGCCAGGAAGCCAGCGTGCTATTTATCAAATATTATAAGCTGGAACACTCTAATCTGGAGCAGGGAGAGGAGGGAGGGTCCTGCACCACACTGCCTGGGGTGTTCCAGGTGTTTGCCCCAGCCCCAGACAGCCAGTGGGAGGTGACGGATGGCCTGCGATTAGTGCTCCCCACCTCCGCCCAGCCATCTCACTTGCTCCCAGAGGCCTGGCCCTCTAGACCAGCTGCTCGGCCCGGAGGGGCCCTGGATGGGAAGCAAGGGGAGGTCAGGCCAGGGCACGGGCCATCCTGACGCCCCCAGAGAGGGCAGGCGGGTGAGGCCCAACATACTTATTTATTGGAGTGTAATGGTTTGTGGCCGTTGGTCGTGGAGGTGAAATTGATCAGTGGTGGAAGTCAGGTTCTATCAATTATTACAGCAATTAGTCAAGTCAGAGCAGGGTGTGGGGCTAGGGGACTAATATTAGATGGACATTATCTATGGTGCCCCTCTCAGCCTTCCTAAAGTGGGGGCAGAGTTGCTGCCTGCGGCTCCTGAACCTCCAGCAGCACGAGTGGCGGACGGGGCCTGAGCCAGTGCCTCCTGGGTTGGAGGCAGCGCCGCTCCAAGAGAAGCTCCTCCGCCACTGGCCCAGCTGCAGGGATGTCCTACCTGTCCCCATCCCAGCCTTTATGAGAAGTGACATGACTCCTACTAGAAATTACTCAGTGGCCAATGTTTATGGCACCCATTTTTCATTCTGTAAGCAAATATAGATCACTGACAGCACTTGTTTGAAGCAACTAATCTCACCCCTGTCCTTTTTTCCACTTCTCTCCTCTTCCTCCCCTCTTTCTTTCTCTCTTCCTATCCATTCCATCTGTATTCTCTTTGCAGTTCTTTTCTTTCCTTTCCAGAGGTCTCTCCCTGATGCCCCCTTCCACTCCAGTCCATGTCTGGTAACAGAGCTCCTCTTGAGATTGCCCAGTGTTAGGCCTTTCGGCATGCAACTGTGCCTCCTTCTCCGCCCCCTATGCTGCAGGAGTTTTGTGGGGAAGGGCGGGATGCCGTCTGCCGCTGGCCCCTCCACTCTAGCAGAGCCCCCTCAGTCCCAAGTACCTGAAAAAGGCAGGATCAGGCTAGGAAGGCCACACCAGGCAAACAAGCCCCTGAGCGCATCGTTCCTTCCTGAGCCCCCACTGTGCTGTCTGCTGCACTCTGATCACACTCGGCCTCCGTCACACTTGTGTGCTCACCTCTCATTCCCTTTGCCTCCTGGAGACTTTGAATCCTGTGAGACTCGAACACCAGGTGGCTCCTAATCTTAGGGCAGCACAAAGAACCTGTAAAGGGGATGGTCACAAGATGGAGAAGAATACCTGGGAAGTGGTTTTATAGAAGCCAAATAGAGAGCAGCCAAGGTTTCTGTTGCCATAGAGCCAAGAAATATAAAGAAGAAAACTGTTCGTTGCCTGTGTCAGTCCCCCATCATCCTGCACACAGAGCCCTACAGTGCCCAGTCAATGCCTGGAGAACCAAAAGAAAGAATGGACAAGAGCAGACACCTTCCCTCCTAGGGAGGCTGCACTCGGTCCCTTAGCTGGTGAGAGGCCACTGAGAGACTCCTAGCCAGGGTGTGGTCCAAACAGTTAAAGCTGGTGTTGTGGCCTTGGGCTGGGTATTTCACTTCTCTGAGCTCAGCTGCCACATCTCTAGCTTGGGAATTTTCATTCCCGTCCCTCAGGGTGATTGTGAGGCTTTGTGTGATGAAATGGGTAGAAAGTGTACTAACGTGTTCACACCTCCTAGACATCTACCCAGGAGACATGCGGGTGTCCATCCACACAAAGACTTGTATACAGGCAGTCACAGCAGCACTGCACATTACAGCCAAAAGGGGATGTGGTCCACATGTCCATCTGCTTGTAGAATACCCATGCCTCAGTGTGAATGGGCCCTGAAAACAGGCTAAGCAAGAGAAGCCAGAAACAGAGAACCACCCCGTGTAGGTTTCCATTCACGAGGAGTACCCAGAAGGGGCAAATCCAGAGAGACAGTAAAGTAGTGGTTGTCGGGCCAAGGGAAATGCGGAGTGTCTACTAATAGATGAAATCAGACAGTTTCACGGCTTGTGAGTGTGTGTACAACCAATGAGTTGTGTACTTTAAAAGGTTTCATGGTATGTGAATTTTATCTTAATAAAATAATAGATATCAGTATTTTGTACTAAACTGATAGAAAATAGTATCATGTATAAGTGTTAATTTTCTCTCTTATAATAAAAGTTTCCTTTGTCTAGGTTGTACATCATACTCTACCACTTCCTCTCCTCCTCCCACACCTGTGTAGTTTAGCCTCTTCCTCTGCAGCCCGGAGAGATGGCCACACATAAATGCAGAGTAAATGTTTACAGGGTCCTTTAAGAAGGAGTGTTTCAGTAGGAATAGTTTTATGTTTTATATCGTAATACAAATGTTTTTGCAGACTGAGAAACATTGATTTTCACTGTGCATCCACAAACAGTGCAACCTACCCTAAGCCAGCTGGGTCCTGTGTTGAATGGGCCCCAGCTAGCCCATCATATCTTTGTGGTAGGGACTAAGTTTTTTGGTGGTGGCGGTGGTAGTTGTTTTTGTTTTGTTTTGTTTTAAGATTTTACTTATTTGAAAAGCAGAGTTACAGGGAGAGAGAGAGATACATAGAGAGATCTTCCCTCCACTGATTCGTTCCCCAGATGGCCACAATAGCCGAGACTGGGCCAGGTAAATATCAGGAGCCAGGAGCTTCATCCAGGTCTCATAAGGATGTGAAGGCCCAAGGACTTGGGTCATCTTCCACTGCTGTTCCAGTTGCATTAGCAGGGACTTGGATCAGAAGTAGGGCAACCAGGACTCAAACCGGTGCATGCCCATATGTGATGCTGGCATTGCGGGTGGCAGCTTATTCAGTTATGCCATAATACTGGACCCAGGAACTGAGTCTTAACCCTTGGTTACTTCCTGAGTATATTTCTCTTTCTGTGTGGGTGTGGTTTGTATGCACATGTCAGAGTCCCAACACCCTGACCTCTTCTCCCAGAGTTAGATGTGTTTTTCCCATATTCTACAATTTCTAAGGTCTCCCTAGGCTTTCCCATGCTGAAATCGGTTCCCCAAGCCACGTCTAAGTGAAGGGTTTGGAACCACTGTTCATTCACAAAGCCTCTGGCTGTTTCTCCTGCAGGAGCCAACCCTTTGCTGAGGAATGAAATGGGACATACAGCCTTGGATTATGCCCGGGAAGGGGAGGTGATGAAGCTTCTAAAGACGGCTGAGACCAAGGTGAGTGTCAGAGAGGGGAGGCAGCCTATGGGCACTCCATGCATCATCTAATCTCATGCTCACTAATTTATGTCAGGCAGCACATCAGAGGCCGCTTCTCCTCAGATCGTTATTGTATGCTTAAATGGAAATCCAGCCCCCATTCTCATCAAGAACAAGAAGTTGCCCCTGTCATGACTAGGAAGAGGCCTGGGCTACTTCTGGCTTCTGAAGATTAACCTTCAAAATCAGTATTTGTGGCACTGGGTCTCCCAGTTCCTTGCAGAGGAAGGGGACTCTGCAGACAGAATCTTGAGCTCAGCAAGATCCTACCCCCTCTACCCAGGCCTCCTGTTGTCTACAAACTCATCAAGCGGTCCTTGGCCATCCTCCCTGCACACACAGTCCAGAGAGCCTGGTGCAGAATCTGAGCCCCAGACACCTCCGTCTTTCAGTCTCCTCAATTTTGAGCTCCCTGAAAACATGACTGAGTCTTCTGCTCCTCCTAGCTGCAGAACTGTAACTCCGGAACTGCTGGACAGAGTCCAAGAACTAGAATCACAAATCTGTTGGCTGGCAGGAACCTTAGAAATCATCAAATTCAGTGGTGAGAAGACTTAGCTAAGTATGACAAATTCATCAAGAAGCTGGTCTGTCCTGGTAGAAGGGACAGTGGCCCAGAGCACTGCCCATAGATAAGCATCATTCTCTGAAGGGACTCTACAGTGGGCACGAGTTTTGTTTTATTTTGTTTTTGAAGCTTTATTTATTTATTTATTTGAAAGGCTGAGGGATGGTCAGATCTGTCCTCTGGTTCATGCCTTAAATGGTCACAACAACTGAAGCTGGACCAGGCTGAAGCCAGGAGCCTGGAACTCTGTCCAAGTCTCCCATATGAGTGGCAGAGGCCCAGATACTTGGGCCATCACCCACAGGTGCATTTCGGGGGGGCTGGGAAGTAGGAGATAGAACAACTGGGATTCAAACCAGCTCCCCTATGGGATGCTGGCCTTGCAGGTGATGGCTTAACCCACTGTGCCATAATGCCAGCCCCACGGGCACATGTTTTAAATCTCCGAAACCTAAACCAGCTGATTCATCTTCCTCTAGGGAAGCTGGAGCCCTGGGCTGTGATGTGGCTTGCCTTTGGTCCCTGAGTGAGTTCACATCAAAACTGAAACTCGCAGGCTTGATCACAAGGTCATGCAGTAGGTTTAGTGGCAGGACTGGGCCTGAAAAGCCTCATTTCTGGCTCCCAGGCTTGTTCTCCTTCCAGCCTCACATAGCTCCTTGTCTGCAGATTGGCTGAAGTACATGGAGATGATTCAGTGTGGCAGGTCCCACCTAGTGGCAAATATCCTCTGTCTTGAGTCAGATCACTTGACTCACTGGACTGAGACAGAGGTGATTTGGGTTCTGATTCCAGCTCCACCATTCACTGCCTGCCTGACCTTGAGCTAGCACATCTCCTTTTTGAAGCTCAGTTTTTGTCTGAGATGAAAATATTGGACTAAATGGGTTCTGGGGTACTGTTCAGTTTGTGATTGTGTACCAGGATAAGTTAGATTATGCTGTTGCAGGCACCCAAAAGTTAAGTGCTTTAAAACAAGATTTATTTTTGTGTTGTTTCACATGTTCCCTGTGATTGGGGGTGGGAGGCAGGCTCTGCTCATCCCAGACACTCAGAGATCCTGGCTGGCAGGGCAGCCACCCACTGGAATGTTGCCAGTTGCTTGCCAAAGGGCAAAATGTATTTTGAATACTTACAGTTAAATACTCAATCTGGAAGTAGGACCCTTTACTGCCACTCAAAACTCATTGGCCAGAATCAATCCCATGATCCCACCCGACCACAAGGGAGCCGAGAAAAGTATCCAAGTGTCTAGAAGGGGAAAACTGGAAATGCTTAGTCATCAGCATCAACCTACATCCCAGGTATGGTCGGCAGCTGTCTTGCAGTAGTTTCTCCAGAGAATGGCAGGAGTGAGGGAGGATTACTGGCTTTTCACAGCCCATCCCAAGGGGTCTTTGGAACCATAAAAAGCTGCTGAATTCCAGAGGACAAGTGCTTCCCTCCTTTGTTCAGGAGCCTCCCTGGAAGTCAGTTCAGCTTCCCCACGGGCCTTAAAAAGACATGCACCATTTCACATAACCCAGAGAGATTCCACTCCCATCGTCTCCTCTTTCAGCCCAATCAGTGTCCCCTGAGGGACAAGTACTGGAGTTGGCCTGGAGTCCGTTTATGTTTTGTCAGGTGGTGTGACATAGGGCAGGTGCTAGTCTGGCCATATCAAGCAGGAGAGCAGTGCTCTTGGTGCCAGTGCCAAGTGGAGAGGTTAGGGTTACTGAGGGACCTACAAAATGTGGCTGTCCGAGGCGCGTGGCTTGATGTTGACCACATCATTACAAAGCCAGTGACCAAAAGAAGCACATGGTAGTTGCAAACCCCTATGCCAGTCAGACCTTTATGGAGCACAGAGAGCAGTTGTAGACCCCACCTCTAAGTAGACATGGAGCTCTGAGTCTGCAGAGGAGGGCAGCAGGGTGGCAAAGAAAACATGCCATGAGGAAAAGCTGAAGGAAGTAGGGGCATCTGAGCTGGAGAGGAGAGGCTGAGCTCTTAGGCACAGTAACAACTCTGGGTGGGAGGGGACAAGATTCATTCGGTGGCAGAACTCTGAGAGCCAGGCTTACTGACTGGAAGCTGCAGGCCAGAGCTCCCTGCTGCAGCCGAGCCGTAGTGGAAGGGCTGCCTTTGGAGACTAGGAGACCACATGGAGCCAGTGCAGGGTTTCCATGGCCGCTCAGCTGAAGACCACTTTATCTGTTGTGACTCTGCACTGGACCCTTCAGTCCTGATGTGTGTGGCCACTGAGCTGTCCGTCAGCTCTTCCTGGGCGTCAGCAGCATCCTCTTTCTCTTGGCTGTTCAGCAGCCACTTGACTGAATATTCTTTGCACCCCATCTTCCTCCAAGCTGCGCATGCTGCCTCTTCAAAATTCTGAGGCAGACTTTTGTGGGAAGAGCACAGTTTTAAACCTGGTTCTGTCTCCTTCTGCTGCTAAGTAAGCAGCTGGCTCTCTGGGTTGAGGCGCTGCATCAGTAACACGACAGCTCAGGCCCAGAGGGTTCTGAGGTTCCCCCTGAGGCCTCGTCCAGCCCCATCTAGACATGGCGTCCTCACGCTCTGTTCCTGTCTGCCTCCCCTTCCATCTGTCCAGCATCGCCCACCTATTACTCTGTAGTCAGATTGTGCTCGTTATAGGAAATTTGTAAGTCTTAAAGTCATATATCTTACTGTAGAATATTTGGAAATAGAGAAAAGAAAAAAATGAAGGGAAATGATGCAGGCCATATATGAATGACATCTGCTTACCAGGCCCTGGGCTAGACTAGAAGAAGACAGATGAGTAAAACATTCCAGGTGCTCACAGTCTCATAGGGAGACAAGCAAGGAAGCTGTGACTGCACTGGGTCATCAGTGGTATGACTTATCAAGGAAGGCTTCCTGGAAGAGATGACAACTGAGCTGAATCTCAGAAGCATTCCAGCCCTGCTGCCTAAACATAACCACTATTGATATTTTAATTATTTACAATAATAGGTACCATTTATCAAGTGCATCTAGATACGAGCATCTCTAATACATACTTTTTCTAATCCTCTGACAGATCTGTGAAGTAGCTCTTACTATCCCTCTTTCATAGATGGGAAATCTGACACTATAAGAAAGAATACAGAGTGGCTGGCGTTGTGATGTAATGGATTAAGCCACCACCTGTGATGCTAGCATCCTCTATGGGCACCAGTTCAAGTCCCAGCAGTTCTACTTCCGATACAACTCACTGCTGATGCACCTGGGGAAGCAGTGGAGGAGGGCTCAAATCCTGGGGCCCCTGCACCCACGTGGGAGACTCAGTTGAAACTCCTGGCTTCAGCCTGGCCCAGCCTTGGTTGTTGCAGCCATTTGGGGAGTGAACCAGCAGATGGAAGATCTCTCTATCTCTCCCTCTGTCTGTAACTCTGCCTTTCAAATATATAAAATAAATCTTTTAAAAAAAAAATGCCAAGAGCTTATAGATAATCAGACATTATAAGTGACCATTAGGATTTGAGTCATCTTTCCTTTTATGATACTGTATTAGCCTTTACTGGACCATATCTGTGTATATTTTATAAGTGGCCTTTAAAAAATTCTGTTTATTTATTTGAAAGGCAGAAAGGGAGAGATGGAGGGAGAAAGAGATCTTCCAGCTACTGATTGACTCCTCAAATAGCTATAACAGCCAGGTCTGGACCACGCTGAAGCCAGAAGCAGGGAACTCCAGCCCTGTCATCTACTTGGGCCATCTGCTGCCTTCCCAGATGCATTAGTAAGGAGTTAGATTGGAAGCAGAGCAGGCAGGACTCAAACTAGCACTCTGATATGGGATGCCAGGAAGCAGTAGCTTAACCTGCCACAGCACCAGCCCCTGATGGCCTTCTTTTTGGTTTTTGTGTTTTTGGGTTTTTTTGTTTGTTTGTTTTTGAAAACTCCTTGATAGCCTACTGTATATACCAGTAGTTTCAAACTGATATCCACATTTTATTTTCCCATCCCAGAGTTTCTCAAAAATGTGAATTTAGTGCCTTGGGGGTGAGGACTCTCCAGCCACAGGCCCCTCATCCCCTGCCATATGATGTCCATCCTTATCACACTGCTGTTTCCACTTGGCCCAGAAGATGTTTGAATTATGATCCTATTGTGTATTTGGAATCTGCATTCTTCCACTTAGTTTCGTTGGTGGTTTTCCCACTTTAAAGTCCACAAGAGTAATTACTGCAGATCATTTGCCATCACTAACCTGAAGAACCTCTGTCCCTTTGATGGCCGGCATGCTTTTGTCCTCACTTCGGGTTCCCTTGGCTCCCATCTGGCTGGGGGTGAGGCAGACGCTCTTAGCTTTGATACTTGCAGGCGGACTCATGGCTTAGGAGGGACCCGCACCAAGAGGAGGCAGCCTGTGATCCCACACGAGGGC